AAAAGATGGGACTTTTCCATAAAGCTGATTATTAGCAAGATTCAGTTCAGTAAGCATAGGCAGTGTGGTGAGCTCTCCCGGAATCGTGCCAGTGAGATCGTTATCAGCAAGCATAATTCTTTGCAGTGATTTGAGTGAGGCAAACTCTGGGGATATGGTGCCAGATAGACCCATCCTCTGAAAATTAACAACAGTGATGTTCCCATTACTACACGTAATCCCAAGCCAATCAACACAAGGATCATTGCCCTTCCATTCCTTAGCAAATCTTTGGGGATATCCCATAAGTTTAACAATGGAAAGAAGAATATTCACCCGAGGATCACAATGCCCAGGAGTTGGCAAGCAAAAGCCATTCGAGTCCTTACTCATATCCACTTCAACCCCTGGATTGAACACTGGCACAGGCCCTTGAAGTAAGTTATTAGTCAAATTTACAACTTTCAATGATTTAAGACTCATCAATGACGAAGGAACAGGGCCGGTAAACGAATTATCCCTCAAACTCAGGGTCTCCAAATTCTTCAAGCCTGAAAAATCTGGTAATGGACCCGACAATGCATTTGAATGCAGCCAAACCTCCCTCAAGGAAGTCATATTCTGCATAAAATCTATGGTTCCATTAAGTTTACCCGTCTGCCCATTAACCCACAAAGTCCCAATCGGCAAACTAGAAAAGCTCGCGGGAAACCCACCCTCGAGGTTATTGAAGGACAAATGCAAAAGAACCAAACCAGGAAAGACATCTGCATTAAGAAAATCTGGTAGTTTGCCGGTGATATTAGCCGAGTTGGCCGAGAAGTTCTGAAGGGACAAAGCATTTCGAAGACTTTCAGGTATCTCCCATTGCTCAAATGGGTTGTTGTCGATCTCCACGGATTCAAGCTGAGACATGCCAGCAAAAAAATCGCTAGGGATCGAACTAAATTGGTTGTTACTAAGCATAAGCACTTGCAAAGAACCCAACCCCTTTAAGCTAGGAAGAGGACCCGAAATGTTATTATACTGAAGCTCCAAGCGCTGTAACTCGGTGAGATCTCCAAGACTGGGAGGAAGAGTACCTTGAAGACCTAGACGTCCGATTTGGATCCGCGTGACCCGACTTTGATCGCAGACAACATGGTTCCATTTGCAGGGGTCCGAATCGGACCATCCAATAGTATCAGGGACGTTGAGACTCTTCTTAAGAGTTTCCATTGCAGCAGCATCTGGGCTAGGGTTTGCTTGAGACTCAACGAAGACGAAGACTGAAAATAATCCAGAAAGGAAAATGAGTAAAGGCTCAAACTTTAAGTGGGTATTTTTCCTCATATTCGTTCTCCTGGAACAAAGAGAGTAAGCGAAGGAAATGACGAGAGGGAAGCAGGGGGGAAGAAGTGCAAATGGCGGTTTAAGGGGAGAGCTGGATTCCAGAGCAGAGAGTGATGAGAAAGCGAGAAAGGAGAAGAAGGAACAGAAATGCACATGGAGGTGGGGCCCGCATATCGGAAACCCCGGGTTGTCATGACAATAATGTTGGGATGCTGGAGATCGAGATAGGAAGAGGAGTGGGTATGCTTTTGGTCTGTGGGGTCCACAGTGGGCCACGGTCCTTTTTATTTTGGTCTTTTGAATCTGTTAAACTTTGATCATGATTTGAGTAAAATCAATCTAATCTTTCTTGGCTGGAAAGGGACGCCCAACAATGCGCTGGAAGATGCTATACCTACATCCCCGGGAATGAAAAATGTGAAAAGAATTTTTTTTAGCAGTTTTTCCGATGCTACCAAAGTGAATAGAATAGTTTCTTTAAAGGAAAAATCAGATTAATACAAATTTTAGTTTTTTAAACTTATTGTTATTTTGGTTTGGTTCCTTAAATTTTAAATCATAGATTTTCATTCTTTAATTTTTTATTTTATTTAAAATATTAATCATTATAATTTAATAAGAACTTAAACCATTTCACTCATTGATAGAAAAAAACTTATAATTTAAAATTTGAGAGGCCAATGATTATATTAACCAGAAAAAAATCCCTTAATCATTTTTAAATTATACTCTTCTGTACTTAATATAGCACTTATTTCATAGTGCAAATTACCATACAAAATGAGTTTTATATTTAAGATTAAAGGAGTATAAAAATATATTTCTAATTTACTTTATATTTTGAAATTTAATTGTAGTTATATATTTATTCAATAAAATAATTTTAGTTTAGTTTTGTAAATTTATAATTAGGCCTCTAGTTTAGATAACTTTCCTATGATTTTAATTTAATAATTACACATATTTTCTTATTTTGAAGTTTTAATTTACTTTTCACTTTTACCCCTTTAGATGCATATTTTTGCATTATTTATTATCTCTCTAATTCTTATTATAAGTCATTTATAAAATAAAATTTTAGTATCAAGTATAAGTCATTTGGATTTTGAAGGGTTAATAATGACTTTTTTTTTAATTTTATCTCTATTTAATTTATTGTAAAGAGAAAAAATATAGAGATGAAAATAATTTATAAATATTAAAAAAATTATAACGGATAAGTTAAAAAAAATTATAAATTTAAAATATATTTTATGACTTAACTGTAACTTATAATGACAAATAACTTAACAATCATTTTTTGATATATGAAAAATGAGGTATAAGTAACTTAAAAGCGACTTTTAATGAAAAAAATATTTATCTTAAGCTTTGTTTGGTTGGGATTTTTTGGGGGAGGAGAGGAAAAAGGAAGGAAGGGGAGATGGGACTCATGGAAGCGTGTTTGGTTAGAAAAAATGGAAAGGAGAGAAGGGGGGAAAAATTGTCTTCCCATGGGAAAAATTGTCTTCCCATGCTAACTTATTGATATTCCGATCTTACCCTTCTGACTGAAAACTCCTTTTTCTCCGGCTCGTTCTCCTCAGCCGCCCTGCTCCACCCGGTTTGGCATTTTTGCTTCGCATCTCCTCCTCCAGCCGCCGCCGCCGGCACCTGCTCCTCCAGCAGCCGCCGTCAACACCTGCTCCTCTAGCCGCCGCTGTTGCCGCCTTCTTTCAGGTAAGTGTCTGTTCTTCATCAGATTCGGTCCTTCCTGTGAGTGTTGAGAAATTATATAATCTGATTTAAAAACCTACATATGCAAAGTAGTAACTTTTGGTGTGATGAAATTATTAAATGAGGTTTCGGAGGAAGCTCTTTGCAGGAAAAGTAGTCATTTTCTATGCCCCAATTTGGTTTTTGATCAATCACATGACATTTTCGAACTGGCTGGGCAATTCTACTCCTTAAATCCAAAAGCCACCGAAAATGACTTTGCTATGGTACCATTTGTCTCAATGGTAGTCCTCTGCAAAAATTCTGCCGGATAAGAAAGAATGTTTCCCACTGTTTTCCTTCCCTCTTGCATTCGAGCATCTGTGGAATGGATCACTTCTTCTGGACTTCATGAATCACAACATGAGATTGGGATTTACTGCTCTAAGGCTTTGTTTTTATCCTCCTCTATATCTGTTCCATCTGATATTATATGGGAGGATATCTTACATGATCTTTCTTTGTTTGGGAAAGTAGGTGTTTTCTTTATTCCTTCTATGTTTCAGTCTGTTCTCATTGCGTAACCTCTATATAAACATTTGATCTTTAATTAATGCGTTTTATCTTTTTATGAAAAAAAATCTATTGTTGTTTATAATCTGTTAGTAATTGGCTATATACTTTATAGGTAATACATACAAAGATTGTTTGCATGATTGATTGATTTCATATTCCTCGAGTTTTATTTCTAGCCGAGTGACAGGTAAGTCATTTGCTCTTTTGATATGGCAAAGAATCAGCATTTTGATTCCGATTGCTTTATCTGGTGATCCTACTATTTATGTTGTTATTGTTGCTGTTTAAAGCAATGTATTGTCATAAATTCTTCCAAACTCAGACAGCTTAGCTGCTGAAAGCAGTAGGGCCCGTTTAGAATAGTTTACAAGCAATTTTTCAATCGTGATTTACAGAATACGAGATAAATATATAAGAAGTGTTTTGTCTCAACTTACGTGAAACGTGTTAAATGATTTCAATCGTGATTGGCAAACAAGGCCTAAATTAGCTTAATAAGTGGGTTTAATAGACTTGTTGTTTTGGTGTATATGAATGAGTCTTGGTTTCAGCTCAAAAAAAAAAGGAACGAGTCTTGGTTTTTCAAATGCAAGATCTTTATGAATTATTTGTTTGTTGCTGTTTTTTGATAACGTTATTAATGATTTCATTATCTATATGCCCTGACTTTTAATGGGATAATTGAAAATGACTTTTTATAAATGAAAAAAAAGAAAGTATCAAAATTTGTTTTGATAATTTGGCCAAAAAAATTATTCATTTTCATAATATTAAATATATTACCTATTAATTATGTATCATAGTTATATTTATTCGATAGTTGGCAAAAAAAAATTATTCATTTTGATAATTATGAAATTGCGATTTTATATATTAAATGTTATTTATCATTATATTTATTAAACATTTCATAAAATAAGAAACAAATACAAAATAGGTAAAGTTGTCTATATAAAATTAAAACCTTTCCTATCCCTTCCTCTTAATTAAAACCCCTTTTGTCTCTTTATCTCCCCTTCCCTCGTTGAGATCCCTCCGCTCGTTTTTTCTTAGTTGAGCCAAACACAGCCTCCCTCTCTTTTTCTTGGTTGAACCAAATACAGCCTTCGGTTTTAGTTAATTGAGAGGTTAGTTTTAATTTTAAATAACATCATTTTACTTTGTCTCTTATTTCTATCATTTTTTTCAAAATAATTTATCTAATTAATAAATTAATATATCTATATAATCTAATGTTTAGGAAAGTTAGGTAATATTTGTTATAATTGATTAATTTATCTAATTTTTTTTAATTTACTCAAATTGATTAAGTAGTTTTTATATTAAAAGAAATAGAAAAATACATTTATTCTATATTTATTGTTTTTTATCAAAAAAAATAACAGAATAATTTTTAACTAAATATTGTTAACAGAATAGTATAATTTATAATTCCACCCTCCGTCCGACGCCTTCCGCCGTTGTCTGCTTCGTTGTTCTCGGCAAGTAGTGAAGAAGGTTAAACCCTAGGGCTTTTCCACTCCCAAAATCCGGTGAGATCGATTCATTCAATCTGGCTTTGAATCTAGATTTAAATTTTTTCCCACGTCATCTGTTCCGTGCGTAGATGTTTCTTGCTTTGTTTTAAAACCTTTGAATGTGGGAATATCTACAGGTTGAGTTTTTTTGTGGTTTGTGCTTGAATGGTGTTTAATTGGCTATTATGCTTCTGCCCTCTTTATTCTGATTACTAACAAGTTGTATGCTTTGGGTTTTGTTGCAATGTTAGATTTCTTGTGCATTGGCATTCTGGTTATTATTCTCTTTATATTATCATCAGTTTAGAAAATTATCAAGGTATTTGTGATGTGTGATCTTGTACATGATGTGGCTTGAGTTGTGTCAAGGTATCTGGAACAAAAATTGAAAGGGTATTATAAAAACTATGCATGTTTCAGATATTTCAGTATGCCGGCGCTGAATGGAACGCAGGTCCGCCTATGTCTACAATCTACATTGTTTATTGAGTTATGATATAAACTCATAACTCATTCCTCTTTGGTTTTGTTTAGTTATGATATTTCACTTTGCTTCATGTGCATTAAATATATTTCTTTGAAATGCAGAAGTGAAGTGTTGGATCATGGCTATGCTGGGTAGGGCAAGAGAAGCAGGGTTTCTATTGATATCTTCTGTTAAGTTAAAAGGGATTCCTAGTTTGCAACAACTGCATCTGGATACATGCCTGCTTCGAACTAGCTCAGAGAGCTGGTGCATTAGAAATGATGTAACCGGTTCCCTGCCATTGTAATGGGCTTGTCTTGTTATTTCTTTCTATTCTATAGCCCATCTTCTGACTACCGTGTTCTGATTATACTAATATCATATCTCAAGTTTTTCCTGGCAATGTTTTTGGCATGCATTATATGACAAGTTGCAAATTTATATTATCATGGCTAAACCACTGCTTGCCCTAAAGTTTCCACCACTCACCCTTACATTTGGTAGATACCTCCCACAATTTTCATCTCTAGAACACCTGGTTAAGCTTTTGAAAGTCTTAGCTGATACTAAAAGTCTAAACCACGGCAAAACTGCTCATGCCCAGTTGGTTGTTAGGAATCAAAGTTCAAAAGGTAGTGACATCTCTCAGATAAATTCATTGATCAATCTATATGTCAAATGTAATCAAATACAACTCGCTCGAAAGCTATTTGATAGAATGTGCAAGAGGAATGTAGTATCTTGGAGTGCTTTAATGGCAGGATATTTGCATAAGGGGGATGAATTGGAAGTACTTGGGCTTTTTAAAGCTTTGGTAACCTTGGAAAATTCATGCCCTAATGAGTATATTTTTACTACAGTTCTATCTTGTTGTTCTGATAGTGGGAGAGTTGAAGAGGGAAAGCAATGTCATGGGTATCTATTAAAGTCCGGATTGTTGTTTCATCAATATGTGAAGAATGCCCTTATTCATATGTACTCAAGGTGTTTTCACGTTGAATTAGCAATGGAGATTTTGGATGCAGTGCCTGGTTATGATATTTTTTCATACAACTCTATCTTGAATGCACTTTTAGAATCTGGTTATGCAAGGGAAGCTGAAGCAGTTTTAGCAAGGATGATGGACCAGTCTGTAGCTTGGGATAATGTCACCTATGTTACTGTGTTTGGCTTTTGTTCTCATATTAGAAATTTGCAATTAGGCTTGCAAATCCATGCCCAATTCTTGAAATCTGATCTGAAGTTTGATGTCTTCATTAGTAGCACAATGATAGACATGTACGGAAAATGTGGAGAAGTCCGGAATGCAAGAAAAGTTTTTGATGGCTTGCAAAATCCAAATGTGGTTGCGTGGACAGCAGTCATGACAGCTTACTTGCAGAATGGCCATTTTGAGGAAACTCTGAACCTATTTAGAATTATGGATCTTAAGGACACTGCCCCAAATGAGTGTACTTTCTCAGTGTTGCTTAATGCCTGTGCAGGTCTAGCATTATTGAGCCATGGTGATACATTACATGCTCGGGTTGAGAAGGCAGGTTTTAAGAATCATTTAACTGTCACAAATGCTTTGATAAATATGTATTCCAAGACTGGCAGCATTGATTCAGCATATAATGTGTTCTCAGATATGGTGTATCAAGATACCATCACTTGGAATGCTATGATATGTGGGTACTCCCATCATGGGCTTGGTAGACAAGCTTTAAAAGTGTTTGAAGACATGATTTATTCTGGAGAACGACCAAACAGCATAACTTTTGTTGGGGTTCTTTCTGCTTGCGCACATTTAGGCCTTGTAAAAGAAGGGTTCTACTATTTGGATCATCTAATGAAAAAATTCAAAATTGAACCAGGATTGGAGCACTACACCTGTATGGTTGCACTTTTGAGCAAAGTTGGTCTTCTCAAAGAAGCTGAGAACCTCATGAAGACAACACCAGTCAAGTGGGATGTTGTTGCCTGGCGCACTTTGCTCAATGCTTGTCATGTTCATCGAAATTACAGCTTGGGAAAACGAATTGCAGCACATGTCATACAGATGGACCCTCATGATGTAGGGACATATACACTGCTATCAAACATGCATGCCAAGGCAAGGAGGTGGGATGGAGTTGCAAATATTCGAAAACTGATGAGGGACAGAAACATCAAGAAGGAACCTGGGGCCAGTTGGCTTGGGATTAGAAATGATACACACGTTTTTCTTTCAGAAGTCAGCAATCATCCAGATTCCAGTCAAATTTTTGAGAAGGTCCAACAATTGTTGGCAATGATTAAGCCATTGGGGTATGTACCAGATACTGATGTTGTGCTGCATGATGTGGAAGATGAGCAGAAAGAAGGTTATCTCAGTTATCACAGTGAAAAGCTGGCCATAGCTTATGGCCTCATGAAAATTCCTTCACCAGCACCAATCCGTGTGATAAAAAACCTTAGGATGTGTGATGATTGCCACAATGCTGTAAAACTAATTGCAAAGGTCACAAACAGGCTGATAATTGTTAGAGATGCTAACCGTTTCCATCATTTCCAAGACGGGTATTGTACTTGCACAGATCACTGGTAGCAAATTATTGATTTTTTTCAGTTTTGGTTTTCTGAGTGGAATGTGGTACATTATAGGGTATACAGGTCTCCTCCTACAAAAGTTTTATACTTTCATGATCCAAAATGTGAGTCACTTGGTTTCTGGGGCATTAATTGTTTTCTTTAGAAAATGCCTTTCTTGTCCATTTCTAATGATGGGTTAGGAAGAGAATATGTTTTCCAAATTTATGTTACAATTAGAAGCGACTTGTATTAAACCAAAGCAGGTACTCTACGCGATATCTGAAGCGGCTTACAACCAAGAGGCTGCTGTTAATCTGGAAAAGGGACTACTTGTTTTATTTTCCTTTCAAGTAAAATAAAAGAGAGTTCTTGTTAATCAAGCATAAATAGTTAAGTGTGCATATCAGGTGAAAGAGATTATATGCATGGGAAAATGCATTAGCTGGTTCGATTGGAGAATTAATGAAGAAGTCCCGAAGCTGTTTCGGTATACTTGGGTTTTTCTGGCCAAAAGCAAAACTGATTTAGTTCACTTAGAAAATGGATTTTGTCAAATACTTGATAAAAATATCAGACGAAATAATGTGGTTTGAGTCTGTTATAATATAAACGCCACGCCTTGTGTTACATCTTTTTCGCTTATATTTTTTAAGCGTTATTCTTCTTTGTTTGTTTTTTTTCCCTCTTTGGACACAATCGTTTTTTTTTTTTAACAACTATTCTTCTTGTTTTTTTTTTGGTCATTACAAGGGCTTTTTGTACAGCTTGTTTCGAAGTAGTTGGACTAATAACAGTATTTCAGAGTGGAAGACCAGCCTAATTCCACTAAGATAGGAGCCCAGTTCATGGTCTCTTTTGAAGGGGTTTAATTGGGCTGTTTTTATTTCTCTTGAGTAAGATAAGAAAAGGCCTGATTAAAAAAGAGAAGGCCCTTAGACTTCTTTATTGAACAGAGATTAGGATTTATAAGTTATCTGCCCAATGTCGAGAAGAAAAAGGGCTAAATACTCTCCTGCCATTTATTGAAAATTCAATTTGAGCTGGTTGTATTAAAAAAATATATATTTTTTCAAAAAATTTAATCTGAGAAGAAAATTACAGGTCAAAATATTCAACTACAAAGATTTATTTTTATTTTTTAAAAATTTAACATCGTTTTTCTAAATGTACCCAATTCCGAACGGGTATTTTTTGTTCTTTGCCATTTTCTTTGAATCCTTGGTTTAACTACTTCCTGTCACTTCATATTAATTTAAGAGGTTAATTCACTTAAAGAGAAAATTATAAGTGATACAATGAAATTATACAAAGTAGTGACTGAACACAAATTGAGTTTGGTGACGTGCAGTTTTCAGAACCCATTTGGATTCATGATATATAACAGAATCGATTTATTTATTAAAAATTAATTAAAAAAATAGGAGAGTAAAAGAAAACACTTATTTTTTATTAAGTTGGAAAAGACCTAAATTCATGTATTAACAGTAAGGGTAAAATATGTTAGGCAGCCTGTCAAGAGCCTGTAGCCTGACCTGTAAATGGCCTAGCCTGGCCTAACCTATTTAAATATAAGAGCAGGCTCAGGTTTGTAAAAAGGTCTGTTTACCTTATTAGACTAGGCTCAAGCTTGATAATAAGCCTATTAGGCTTGTTGGGAGGCCTGGGCCTTTTTTTTTTAGGTTAAAATTGTAAATTTACAAGTACTGAAATTTAACCAAGGTCACTCAAGCTATTCCCATTCAGCTATTCCTATTCCTAATTATTTCATATTTTTTGTTTGTATTTTGGATAATTTGGATTGAGTTATTATAATTTTGAATTGATTTATATATCTTTGAAATTTGTTAAAAATGCAGGCTTCTAAATAGGTCACAGGCCGAGCCAGGTTTAATTACAGGCCAGGCCTATGCCAAATAAAAGGCCTTTCACAGGCTGCAGGTCAGGCTCAGGCCAACAGGCCTCACCACATGCCTAGCCTGTTAAAGGTGAGGCCTGGCCTAATATATTTCCACCCCTAATCAATAAAAACACTTATATTGTATATATTAAAGTCATACAATATAATGCGAGAATGCTTGGGGTGAGACAAAAAATTTTCCTATAAAAATATGCCTACATAAGGGTCATTTTTAAACTCTCACTTGTTTAACCTAATCTTAAATGTTATAACTCGGCTTATATAAGAACAAATCCTAAAGTGTATAATTTTTGCTCATGATATAAACCTTTTTTTTGTTTGGCCAAGTCAAGAGAAGACTTTGGAGTTGAAGCATTTCCACTTGATTGGGAGTCATACACAATATATGCTTTATAATTTTAACAAGAGACAAGTTAGAAGTAAATTGGAGGTTAAAATGGGAGAACATATCATTTCACAAATGACAAAATTCAAATATTTGAATCAATTATGCAAAATAATGATGACATTAATGGAGACATCACATTTCTAATCCAAATTGGATCGTTTAAATGGAGAAAGACTATAGAGTTATTTGTGAACGGAAAATGTTCAAAAAGATAAAATGAAGGTTATATCAAACTACTACAAGACTATGTAACCAAAAAAACTACTTTTCTGGTCTTTAATATATGACCTAATTAGAGAGTTGATGTTAGTTCTATATGTAAAACCTATTTTGCAAGTTAGCCAATTTTTTTTCAAGCTAAATCCTATTGATATTCTCCCAACAATAATTAAGTAAGAGATGGAGGGGGAAAATTAAGGAAGATATATAAAGTGTTTTGAAAAAACATATTATATGGACTAATTACTAATTAATATTCTTAATTTACTCAAATTAGTTGACTAGATTTTATATTAAAAAATAGAAGAGTAGTATAAGACTAGAAATATTACATGGTTTTGAATATTAGGCTTTAAAAAGAAAACAAAAGTATAAAATTGCACTAATTGATGAGACAGGATATTGATATGTGTGTGTGGGGTCAAGCACCAAAAAATAAATAATTTTTTTAATAAGCACCTATGAGGAAGTAGCTTCTATTGAAAAAAAGTGATAGAAAATCGTTTGAAATAGTTTGATATATACAAAAAAGGTTTGGCGCTAAACCAACGGTGGTTAGCATAGTGGTAGCCTCACTTCGCCGCTTAACCTGAGGTCTTGAGTTCGAGCCTTGGGAATGCAGCCTGTCCCTTGGCCAGCACTTTGCCCTTAAGTGGAGGTTCCCGGTGCAATCCAGATTAGTCTGGTTTGTAATTGGATTAACCTAAGGGGTGGTCCGTCCCTGCAGGAATGTAGCCTGCCCTTTAGCCAGCACTTTGCCCTTAAGTGGAGGTTCCCGATGCGATCCAGATTAGTCTGGTTTGTAATTGGATTCACCCAAGGGGTGGTTCGTCCCTGTAGGGATGGTCTAAGAAGATCGCAGATTAGGTAGCATAAAAAAATACTCAATAAAATTTCTTGATTAACAATTTATATAAAGATTTTGGTTATTAAAAAAAAAAGAATGATATCGCACAATCTGTGTAACCCACTTCACATATAATAATAAGATAATACTTGTTATTGTCCCTCCAAAAGTGTCCAAAAATATCAATTCAATGCAAATAAGTCTCCCATAGTTTCCATAAAGACTAAGATTGAACTACAAGTTGATTATTTTGAGACTTATTCAACAGCCACCACTACAACAGATTCGGAGAAATAATGTAAGAGGATTTGTATAATGACTGCTAAATCATCATTAGATAGTTTAATTTGGAATAACCTCATTTTTATATAATAAGAGGCAAAGTGGAGTTTCATCTTTCATATTTCGATCAGCTCCAAGGCCTCATCGATCGGTATCTCACTAGCCAATCCCAACACCATACTAGTGGACTCATAATGGCAAATAAGTTTAGTTAAAAGATATATACAACAATTCCAAGTTGTGGATATCAAAATTCGAATCATTAACATGTGGGTGACACCTGATGTGACAGTAAATAATATAATTAGCCAAACAGAAGCATGCTTTTATATATATATATATATGCTCATATATATATATATATATATATATGCCACTAATCCTGATTCCGATAGACGCTGTTGCCTCTAACGAATAACCATTAGGCTTCTTGGTTTTTTTCCCCTTCTTCGGAAGTATTTGGATAGAAATAAAACCATAACTTTAAAAGTGTTTTTACAGTATACGAAGTAAATATGTGAAGGAAGTTGTTTCGATTTACAAAAAAGTACTTTTGAAAAGTACTTATATAGTTGCTCAAACACCCGCGAAAACACACCGGCACATACTTACATTAAAGACAATTCTGATCAAGATATTATCGGGTACTAAATATAGGCTTCTGGTTTATCATGAACAAATGTAGAATTGAAAATCTTCAAACACAAAGAAACCCAAAGGGGATATGTGATAAATTTGTTAATAAATTATGTTTATTATGTCTGTTTGTATATTATAGAGAGTTACAATCAAGTTTTAAGAAAAAGATTTAATTTTAAAATCTATTAAGAATTAAAGAGTATATAAAGACAAATTTTAAAATAAAAAATAACAGCATGTTCATATTAAGTACTTATCATTAAGATTTTTTAGTAATTAAATTCTCTCCTATATACTCTTCTGGTCCTTAATATAGAACCCAATTGTTGAGTTGGTTTGAGTCTTAAATATAAAACCCATTTCTCATATTTATCAATTTTCTCTAAATTATCCCTATGGATACTTCCTCAACCATAATCAAGTAGAAGAAGAAGATGAGGTATTAAGAAAGATGATTATGGTATTTTAGAAAAAACATGTCACATTTCTTATAATTAACTAACTTACCTAACTTTCTTAATCTAATCAAATTAGTTAAATAGGTTTTATATCAAGAACCAGAGGAGTATACTATTAGACGAATATTTAAACATCAGATTTAAATTTGGAATCTCATTCAAACAGTAGTGCAGCTTGCTGTTCACGTCGTGTATGTATATGATTATATATGTGTGTGTATACATATATATATTGATTTGATTTATTATGGAATATTTAAATGAATAAAATATTTGTTGTTGCGGTAAGTGGTAGA